AAGTAGTAGTATTCCGCGCGCGTGAGCTTTATGCAGCTTTGGCGAGCTGGCCGAGCTCCCTGTCGACGGCCACCTTCAGGAAGCTGCCTTCCTCGACGACCATCTGCACGGGGAGGAAGCCGAGCCCGTTGGCCACGGCCAGCATCACCTCCTTCATCTCGGCGCGGAACTCGTGGCGGTCCACCATGCCGCTGCCGTCCCTGTCGAACCGCTCGAACAGGCCGCGGTACAGCGCCCCGAGCTCGTCGGGCGCCACCGCGGCCTCGTCCACGCCGAAGTGCTTCTCGAGGACACGCAGGCTCATGAGCTCCCCGGCCATCTCGGCGTAGGTGAGCAGGCCGTCGTGGTCGGCGTCCAGCGCTGCGAACCGGCCGTCCACCGAGGAGTTGAAGGCGCCTTCGTCCTCGACGAAGCTCCGGACAGTGCTCCCGTCTAGGATCTCCACGCTCATCTTCGAACCCTGTGTGTGTCTCAGCGCTCGTGTCTCTTCTTGGAACGTGTTCGTGCGAGAGGGTTGGTTTGGCTTAGTGATGATGATGAGGAGATGCGAAGGTGAGGCCGGGCCATCTTTATAGCCTTGCGAAGTCGGTTTTCCTTGACGCGTTTGGGTTGGGCCGACGGTTTCCCTCGACGCGTTGGGTTGGGCCGACGGGTTTTGACATGGGTAAGATGCCGTGGGCGCGTGTTTCCTTTGTCTTTAGCTTGGGAACGACGCGAGGTTTCCATGTCTTTTGGCCCGTGAAGTCGTTTGACCTCGCCTGCTCAAAAAGAAAAAAGAAAAACTAGTACGTGCATTTCGAATGTGCGTGGCATATGCTGTGGCTGTGAGTCGGTGCCGGCAATTGTACACTTGGAAGTGCAAAGCAACCACAGCCTTTCTTGCTTTCTTTGACCTCTGTGTGAATGCATGACTCCAAGCAAAAACAACGGCGGCCATATGCAAGTCGTTCTACGACCTGGGAGAGTACTAAGGAAATGAAACATGGCCTACATTATCCCTATACATGCAAACAAAAAGAACTGCATTAACTGCTATTGTAAACCATGTAGATGAACGAATACACAGCCTTCATTTAAAACCCACCACTGTGGAGGGGGCAAAGTCAGGTGGTGCGCCTGACTCTTGCTGGCATGGAGTGCGTCAGTAGCTAGGCATAGCTGCAGAACTCTAAAGCGACTTTCTTTGTGGGGACAGATTTTAAACTCTCCGACGACCTTTTTTTTTCTAGAACAGAGAACAGAGGGAGTACAAAAACGTACGGAGTATACTCATACATGCATGGATAGCTTAATGATCAATTAACAGTGAATGACATCTTTAGACATACGAGATGTAGCAAATCATACTCATATGAGTACTTTCGAAGACCGGACCGGCAAATCACTGAAAGCACTGAAAGCACAAAGCTGTTAAATCCTATAATATTCGCTCCTGTTATTGAGGCTCTTATAACCACTGGACTACATACCCTTTCGCATGCTAGATATAATTAGACATGTGTTGATTACGCTTATCACCAATCGTCCTCACCCTTTGGGATAGCCCAAAGGGCTAGTTTCTCCCCGAGGAGACATTTAACACACCCCTTCAGGTAGGGTCATTTCTAGAATTTTAGGACCCCAAGGTGAAATGTTAGTTGGGACCTAAACTCTACCGTATTCAAATATAATATAAATAAGAAATACAATTAATTATATAGCTTAAATATGAAATTAAAGGCTTGCTGGCTAGGATGGCAGTGGCGAACCTAGCTTGAAATTTTAGGTAGGGCGGATGTTACTGCCTCACCGGTTGATCCACCGTACAGATTGTCAGAAGATGAATTAGGTGGGATCCTTACCATTCAGGCCCTGTTTAGATTCCACCCAAAATCCAAAATTTCCCAAGATTCTTCGTCACATCGAATATTGCGGCACATGCATGGAGCATTAAATGTAGATAAAAAGAATAACTAATTGCACAGTTTGCCCGTAATTGGCGAGACGAATCTTTTAAGCCTAAATAATCCATAATTGGATAATTTTTGCCAAATACAAACGAAAGTGCTATAGTGTCCATTTTCCAAACTGGAAGGGATCTAAACAGGCCCTCATTCATTTGAGCCTGATGAAATTTCAGGAAGCATGCCGTAGTGTACAGTGTACTGGTGCATCACTTGCATTAGCGCCACTAAGCCCACTAGTACTTCAGTCTGTAGAGGAGAAGATGCTTCCCAAATCCCAATCTCAGTACAAACAGCCATACATCGCACATCGGAATTTTTTTTATCTGGACTCTCATCTCCATCATGAGTGTGTTTAGTTCTGAAAAGAAATAGGGAGCCACCCCCTAAGGAGCGAAACCAAGTTTGCACGCAGATCTAGAAAAAAACGGAGCGAAACCAAGCTGATGTCGAATAAAAGGCCTTTAGCATAGATGTTGAAAGGTCCTTACATTAGAACTACTTACAGCCACACGTTTTTCAGTCTGAACTCTGAAACGTCGTGTACCCCTCCTAGCAGGAAAGCAAGGGCAAACAAACAGTCTGTTCGCTTGGTCGTAAATAATTGTAGATTATAAGTCACAATTGTATTTTTCTCTCACACCAAATCAGCCAGCAGTAATAATCCACGATCGTATACGATCGTATCAGCACCAGCCGAACAGGCTGAAAAGCTCCATCGGGTTCATAAACCCGGGGTCCCCAATAGACCCGCTTCCCTGCAATACTTGTCCCAGCAGGCAACGCAGCGACAGCGCGTCTGGGCCGGCCCAGATACACAATGACAGGCCGAGACCACGATCCGGTCCCCGACCGGCACCTCCGGCCAGGAGACCTGGTCGGAGCCCCGACCGGAAGGCCTGGCCGAGGTGGGACTACAGTCCGACTCCGACCCCGTTCCTCCGACCGAGGATATTCCAGACCTTTGCTCGTCTCTCTTTCCCGACCGACACAGTCGGGGGCGTCTGGGAACGAACGACTAAGACGCCTTCTCGGTGTGGACCCAGGGAGCAGGCGGAGCAGATAAGGTAAGACGCTCAAGTCAACCGCAATACCGAGGACCATACCCTGCCATGCCCTGCGCACCTGCAGGACGGTGCCGTCAGGCCATGTCAGACGGACACTGCCTGCCAGTCGCGGCAGAGCACAAACAGTATTGTGGGCGCTGTCGTTTGCCGTTCCAGGTGAACACTGTGCAGCCTACCAGGAGCCTGCCAGGTACAACAGGTCGTGAACAGTGCCATACCCGACGACGTGGGCAACAAGACTAGATATCACCCATACACACACTCTCTCTTTCCGTCTTTGACTTGTAAGGCCATCCCCTTCATCTATAAAAGGGGATGCGCTCTCTCATCTGAAGAGAGACAGCACAATAACTCTAGAACTCGACAGCTACAGAGTCTACACGCTCTCAACAGCTGATAAGCTCGGACACACAGAGCATACGCTCCAATACTTAGCGCACGTTTGAGTATCCATCACTCTCTGCCACTCGGTTCCGAGTCCGACCGGGCCTCTAACACCCCCTTTCTTATTCCGTACTCGTTTTGTCGGGTTCATAAACCCGGGGTCCCTAATGGGCCTGCTCCCTAGCAAAAGCTCGGCCCAGCAGACGACGTTGCGAACAACGCGCAACTCCTGAGCCGGCCCAGATACCTAAACGACAGACCGGAAGAGCAATCCAGTCTCCGATCGAAAGGTCTGGCCAAGGAGGGGACGACGCTCGGTTCTGACTCCGACCCGCGTCTCCGACCGGGTACCTCGCCAAGGAGGGGACGACGCTCGCTTCCGACTCCGACCCGCTTCTCCGACCGGAGGGCCTGGCCAAGGAGGGGACGCCGCTCACTTCCGACAACGACCCGCGTCTCCGACCAGAAATACATCGAACCTCTGCTTACGGCTCTTCTCCGACCGGCGCGGTCGGAGCCGACTAGGAACGACCAAACGGGGACGCCCGCTCGGTGAGGACCCGAGAAATCAGACAAAGCAGATAAGGTGAGGCGTACAAGTCAACCGCAATACCGAGGACCGTACCATGCACATCTGCAGGACAGTATTGTTAGGCCATGTCATAAGAATACTTTACAACCTTCCAGACATGTCAGAACACGAACAGTGTTGTGGCCGCGACATTTGTCCTACAGTATGGTAGGCGCCGACATTTACCATACTAGAAGAACACGATGGAGCCAACCATATACATCTGGACGTCAACAGTATTGTGGGCGCTGACAAACCGTCTTGTACCCGACGGCGTGGACAGCAAGACTAGGTAGCGCACACACTCTCTCCCTCCCACAACAGACAACAACACAACGAACGAACAGACAACAGACGGATCATTCCGACTCACTCTCTGCTAGCTTTAGACATTCTAAAGCTACACAGAGCATACGTTCCAATACTTAGCACACGTAGGAGCTCCCGTTACTCTTGGCTCTTTAATCCAGAGTCCGACCAGGCCTCTGACACCCCCTATTTTACTCCCACTCGTTTGTAACTCCACAGCAAACTTCGAGCACCTAGGCTCAGGAATAAAGTCATCGACCGACTGAAACTGGACGTAGGGCACGTTGCCGGAATCAGTATAAACCCTATGTTATTGAGTGTTATGCCACATCTGATCACAACGTACGGCAAAACGACAAATATTTACTTGCTAGTCACTTTTTGCACCGACACGTTTGTTACCCCATAGAAAACTTCGAGCACCTGGGTTCAAGAATAAAATCACCGACCGACTGAAACTAAATGTAGAACACGTTGCCTGAACCAGTATAAATCCTGTGTCATCGCGTGCTAGATCACATCTGATCACAACGCATGATAAAACTACAAATATTTACTTGTTGGCCACATTTCGCACCGACGAGCTCCCTAACCATGCTTACTTGAGCTTTTCGTTCGTCAAGCTTTTCCAAAATGGTGTTAAGTTGCTACTGAACCTACTGCTTTTCGTCCACTAATTCCAAAATGGTGTTAACTTGCTGATGTGCCTACTTCGTCTTGCTTAAGTCAGAACAACCTCCGAGCGACATGTTGCCTTTTCCTCGTCTTGAGACCGCCATCTCCAGAGCAGCACTTGATCAAGTCTAACTCCATTGCTTCTTCGTCTTCTGTGAACTCTTCTGGGTCTTCTTTCTCAAACCCACCTTCTTTTGGGTGCTCGGAATCTGAAGCCAGCTCAGAACAATCAGGAGCAGAACAAGATTGTGTGGTCGTCTTGTATTCACCTCCATGATAGATACTCCTATGAGGCATTAGTTCCTCCCCTGGATTGACCATGCCTTTCATTATCTGTGAATGTGCAGAACAACAGAAAACATAGAAACACTCAATGAAATAGGAACACAAAAGGTAATCAACCACATCACGCGAGATAGCATAATAAAGTAGATAAAGATAGTGTAGCCTAATCCTGGTGACCAACTAAATTACCCACCAGTCCTCGGTATCAAACCGGAAGACAAACTGGCTGTTGACCACTTCCCTCGAGGCTATCGATGCAGCTGAAGGAGCATTCCTTGGTGCTACAATAACAAAGCAGCTCTCCATCAAACAGTATACACAGTTGGTGCGTGGATGGAGGATCGGGGACAGCACTTACCAACAAAGTGATCTCCATTGTCAGCCACATATATCTCCGCTCTTCCGTCCTTCACGAGAAACGAAAGTGCAAATATGTTCTCGACGGTTTGTGCAAAAGACGGACGGTTTAAGATGAGATGTTCCAGCTTTACATTTCTGTTGCTGTGACTCCTTAAGAGGTTGAACATGACAGCGATGTTCTCGTCAGTGTCATTCCTTTCATCTTGGTCCGGTGCCAATTCATCAGGCTGGAAAAAATAATTACATTATCATATCTTGACAGAGGCAACAAAATTAAACAAGATGGTTCCCTTGGACAAATAAGTACTTAAACAATAAGAAAGTGGAACCCCATGGGTAACAGATAGACAATCAGTGTGGGAATGTCAGAGTTTATTGAGAACTTAGGAAATAAATTAATGCATCAGCACAAATAATTTAAAAAGAGCCTGTGTAATAATTCCTAGTTATATAAAGAGCATAAATTGACGCATCAGTCAAGGATGCATCTTTTAGGTGGTGGCGCGACTGATTCAGAGAGTGCAAAATTGTGCACATCAAAATTCAGAAATTTATCTTGCACAGAAAATTTGTGCAAGACATAAATACCTCAGCAATAAAGAAAATGAAATATGACTCCTGTGGTCAATAGATAGCCATTGAGTGGGGTGAGTATCAGCCATTGAGTGGGGTGAGTATCAGACTTTAATGAGAATTTTCAGCCAATTAAGAAACTCAATGGCATGAGGCACATAAATAAAACCTGTGTAATGGTTTATAGTTCAGAAATAAATAAACTCTTGATGACGTCTATTAGTAAATGGCATGACGACTGATCTGTTTAAGGCGAGTAAAAAAGTAAGATTCTCTAGCAAGAGTAAGGCTCAGTTCTCCTTGATTTATCTATAACAAGTTCTTACGAGTTACCGACAAATCTGGTCACCATGACTTCAGAAGAAGACGCATGGATGGAACTCACCTCTGCAGGCTCACTACCCAAGTGTCCTGATCGTCTTCTAACAGTGTGCCTTCGTTCCTTGACTGCGAGGCCGAGACCCATAGGACCATTCCTATCATCAAACAGGAGCATTACAAAGACAGTTCAGATTGCTGAAACTGCAGCCTGTGAACGAACAAACAAGTGCAACAACATTTTGTGTAGGGAGGAAGATCTTACATTGTTTGGCACCCGGCAGCTGTCATGAACAGTCCTGATACCGCGCAACCAAGGCTTGACCAGGAGAACGATCCATCAGAATCAACAAGCGGTGAGGCTGTAGCACCAAATTTGCTGATGAGAGCTGTGATAAATTCTGATGGAGTCGGACCATCCCTGTTTTCCACCTTGGTAGAAGAGACCAGAGCATTGGCAAGGTCCAGCAGAGCCTCAGCATCAGCAATTTACTCCATTGGCCTTTGCACTGAAAAGTGACAATTCATCAGGAAGCGAATCAATAAGTTGAGGTACGCTTGTTGGACAGATTATTACGAGCATGCAAAGAAATGCTGTTTGATACTACATTGTAGTAGTAATTCCCTTGGGCAATGCCGCAATGGTGTTGGAAATGCCGAGTTGGAAATAGATATATGAAGAAAAAAAGAGCTTTTTTGCAGTATTGCAGGGGAAAAAAAGGAGCATTTCAATGAAAAAAAAAATCTCGCAACCAAGTAATATAAGTGGCTAGGCATCCAGATATAACAAGCATTCATCTCAACCAAGCTATGAACACGAGGTATAGTTAGATTTGCACTCAAGAAGGAAACAACGAGGGAAACGAGAACGAAAGAGGAAGCGGCGGCGGAAAAAGCAACCACCTTTTTCATGAAGCTTTTCAATCTTGTTCAAGGCGGCGTCGAACTGGCCGAGGGTAGGGTCGTCCTTCACCTCTGCAGTCACACACACGCGCGAGCATAAGAAATCGCACACCCGACCATCGACCTCGGCCACAGGACGGCACGATCGCAGAAAACAATAGCGGCGGGTCGTCGTAGAGATTAGAGAAGCGCCGCGCGCACGTACCGTCGCGGATCATGGCCCTGACGTCGGCGTACTCCGACCGGAGCGCCCTCCTCTCCTCGTTGCTCTGGCTCCACAGCGGAGCGAGCCCCTTACGCGACGCATCCTCATGGTCCCTCCCGCCCTCGCCGCCGCCGCCGCCGGCGGCAGCAGCAGCTGCACGATCCTCCATTTCCTCGAGAGTGCGCCGGCGGCGCGTCGCAAGCTTCTCCGCGGCGGACTCGTCGGGTCTAGCGGCTCGGGGGGGCAGCGGCGTCTGCTGGAGTGAGCGCAAGCAACCGAAGGAAGAGTTGCCACGGAGGGAGAGAAGGGAACTACTGTGTGTGTTGGGGGCTGCACCTTGTCCAATCTCTATCGGATTGTAGCCAGACTGTTGATACTACTCCAATGTAATTATTACTTAGGGGGTGTTTAGTTGGGCTTGTACAGTGAAGATTTTCTACGGTAGCATTTTGTTTATATTTGCGAATTATTGTCCAAACATTGATTAATTAGGCTCAAAAGATTCGTCTCATAAAGTTAAAGCAAATTGTGCAATTAGTTTTTGATTTCGTCTACATTTAGTACTCCATGTACCGCAACTTTGATGTGACGAGAAATCTTCTTTTTGTATAGTGCACTCTTCAGGAGTTTGGAGGAACTAAGGACATGTTTAGATCCTTTCCAGTTTGGAAATAGACACTGTAACACTTTCGTTTGTATTTGGCAAAAATTGTCTAATTATAGACTATTTAGGCTTAAAAGATTCGTCTCGTCAATTATGGGTAAACTGTGTAATTAGTTATTCTTTTTACCTACATTTAATACTCTATGCATATGCCGCAAGATTCAATGTGATGAAAAATCTTAGAAAACTTTAGATTTTGGGTGGGGCCAGGGCCTAAACAAGGGCTTACGTGTGTGTAAAACTAATCAGAGTCGATTGGACCTATTGAAAGCCTCTGACCACGTCCTTCGTTGCAAAGATCCCATTATACGTGACAGTATTTTTTCTACGCAAATAAATTAGCTAACAGTATTTTTTAATTTAACTTTTCAGCTAAGCGAACAGCACCAGTGAGAAATTAATACGATTGTCAGGAAATGAATCAAGTGCGATCCTGAGTATTCATTTGAACCTGATGGTTGATGAACTCAAGCCCATGTTTAATTCCACAAAATTCCTAACTTTGACACTATGTAAAAAGAAGATTCTCTGTCACATTAAACTTGCGGTATATGCATTACGAGACGAACGTTTTGAGCCTAATTAGTCAACGATTAAACAATTAGTACCAAATAAAAACAAAACGTCGCTGTAGCTACGAGACGAACGTTTTGAGCCTAATTAGTCAACGATTAAACAATTAATACCAAATAAAAACAAAACGTCGCTGTAGTTACAGTGTAGCTACAGTGATTTCATCGCGCGCTAATCGGCCGAACTAAACACGGCCAACAAACATGCAGTAGAGAACAGTGTGCTGGTGCGGTGCATCACTTCAATTGACGCCACTATACTTCAGTCTGCTGAGAAGAAAGCTTCAATTTCAGTCTCAGCGTGACCATGGTTGAAACTTGTCTACTTCCAAAATACTTAGGGGTGTTCGATCTTGAGTCACTCCTAAAATTCATATCACATCAAATATTTAGATACTAATAAGGAGCATTAAATATAGATTAATTACAAAACCAATTACATAGATGAAGGCTAATTTGCGAGACGATTTTTTTAAGCCTAATTAACATATTATTAGCACATGTTTACTGTAGCATTACGTTGTCAAATCATGGACTAATTAGGCTTAAAAACGCGTCTCCCAAATTAGTCGCAAGTTGTGCAATTAGTTTCATAATTAGTCTATATTTAATACTCCATGTATGTGTCCAAATATTCGATGTGACAGGAATTTTAGGAGCGCCTAGAGAACCAAACAGGCATTTTTGCTTAAAGACAGGAGACTGAGATGTATTGGAACAAAAAAGGATGTATTAAAAAAAAAGATAAAAGTGCATTGTTGGGATGCTAATACCAAAACTATAAGGTCAATATTTTGAGACGGAAGTACACTGTTTTTAACTTATGAGTCATGAAAAATACTGACATAAAATCTCACTGAGACTAGTCTTGCAATTCACTTCTTTCTCTCTTCTCCTCTCCTTCACATAGCATAATCAACTACTAATAGCCTTTTATTATACTTGAGCTCTATCTGAATCCACAGAACTAATGGTTATCTTGTTATAATTAACTTTTTAGAATCTACTACAACTAATAGTCTAGCTAATTGTTAGTTAACTGCTTAATTAATAACTATTTCACTTCTTAGGTCAAACCAACTAATAGTTAGCTAGTTAATATTAACTATAAGCTATCAACTAGCAACTATTAGTAACTAATGAATCGGTCTTGCTCTAAACAAGCGGTCTGTTCGCTGGTTGGTTTCTGAACTGATAAGCCCAATTGATACTGGTTTGTTGTGAGAGAAAAACACTACTGGGTGGCAACCAAGAGCTATGACCAAAGTATTGTACTGCGTCGTCCACATTGACCATGGGTTTCACCAAAACCAGGCAAGGCCTTAGCAGCCTGAAACCGGAACATGTCCATGGTCCATGTTCCCATGTTCCACGTTATAGAAATGTCCATCTTTTGGGGATGAAAACACTTACGTTCTCACATTATAAAATAATAATGTCCCAAACTTTTCCCGTTCCACCTTCCCGTTCTCGTGGGAACATGGCGGCAAAGGCCGAGGGCAGACGGCAAACATGTAATTACAAGCAAAAGGGCGAGGGCAAAAAAGGAAGCGATGAAAACACACACCGGCTCAGCCGGTCAGACCAGCCTCCTGCCACCCACTCCCAATCCCCCAGAGGCCCAGACCCCCAGCCGATCCTCGCCCACCTCGCAGCCGCAGCACACGCGCCGCATCTGATCTCACCGGCGGCGGCGCCGCCCCCGAAGCGTCCTGATCTCCGTCGCAAACACCACCGCACTTCCCGGCGCCGCGCCAGCGCCCGCCATCCCGGCCGATGAAGGCGTCGATCAAGTTCCGCGACGAGGAGCGGCCGCTGATGCGCGCCAAGGTGCCGATCGCCGTGCTGGGGCTGCCGTTCCAGTCGGGGCTCGCGGCGGGCGGGGACCCGCGGGAGCTCCGCTTCGACGTGTCCACGGCGTTCGCGTCGGGCCCCGCGCTCCGGCTCTCGTACCGCCCCAACGACCCGGCGCTCCCCTTCGCGCTCACCGTGCGCGCGGGGCTGGGCCCGCTGGGTTCCCCGGCGCGCGCGCCCTTCGCGCTCGCCGCCGAGTTCAACCTCCTCGCGCCTGACCCTTCCTCGTCGCCCGCCTTCTTCCTCCGCCTCAAGCCGCGGCTCGGCGACTTCTCCCTCTCCCACGCTGCGCTCCCCGCCGCCGCCCCGGCGCCAGCGCCGCGGAAGGTCGGGGAGCCGGGCTCCGACGACGGCGGCGGCGGACACGGGCGGGAGGTGAAGCTCCTCGACTATAGGCCGCCGTTCACGTTCACCGGGAGCGGGCTCGCGGCCGACGTCGCGGCGGCGGGGACCAAGAGCGGGGTCGGCGCGCTGCTGTCCGGGATGCGGCTCACGACCAGGAGCGTGCTCCCGCTGTGGGGTAGGGCCAGCCTCCGGTTCAACTGGGGCCTCCGCGTGCCGCCGGAGCTGCTTGCCGACGATGGCGACGGCAAGGGCGTGCGCGCTCCCGTCAACAAGATGCCGCTGCTGGTCATGAGCAAGGTCTCCATCGAGCAGTCTCCGCGCGCCGGCGCGGGCACCAAGGCCGTCGGCCGAGCACCTGCAGCCACCGTGGCCTGCACGGACGCGGACTCGGACGGCGACGCGGCGTTCTCGCTGGTGAGGCAGCAGCTGGAGTCACTGAACGTGGACAACATGCTGCTCCGGCGCGCCGTGGAGGACCTCCGCGCGGAGGTCCGCAGCAACAGCAGGGCCACGCGGCCCGCTGCTGCGGCGGCGGGCAGAGGTGAGGGCAGGGTGGCGGCGACCGCGCTGCAGACGCAGCCACACCCGCGGCCGCAGCCTTACCACTCGACGAAGCCGCAGCGGGGCGCCGCGACCGCGAGGGAGCCTGCCGCTTCACCGGACGACGTCGGCGAGGAGCTGAAGAAGGCGTTGGAGGCCCGCCTGCGGTGAGCAGCCAGCCTTGCTGCAATTGACCTGCTGGCTGCCAGGCTGCGTTGCGTGCGACCCCGGCACCGGCAGCTCACCGCTCAAGTGAAGGGCGGACTACTGCCGCTGTTAATTTACTAGTACTGGTGTTGTAATCTGTTGGTGTCAGCAGCAATTTGAAGCTGCTGATCTGTCCCTGTTGCTTGCTTAGATCGTACTTACTACAAACGGAAAGTGTTGTGAACGATCGATGGTAGCAACTGGGAACTAGTGGAGTTGTCTGTGCTAGATCAAGCAAAGCAGCAACTAGCTTTCTTTCGCCTTGCCCGGCAATGGCGGGGCAAGGTTTGGCTGCAAGCATGGCAGTAGCGCCTCCCAAATCCACACCGGCAAGGCAACTGCCAAACAAGGGCCGGTGACCGCGGAAATGGACTCCTCCGCAAGCAGAACGGGAAACATAGAGCCATGGCTGCCTTGGAAGGCTGCAAATCCAAACAGCCACGGCTAGTTTCAATCGCTCCAATTTACCTAGTGGAGCACCTTATTAATCAACACAACACCACCAAACAAACATAGTAGAGCTTACCGAACGGGGAACACCTCTACTTTGATTTTGGTGTTTGATTACCAACACAACTAAATTAGATTAATAGATTTGCAAGTGATTGTTTTGTAGTTTAATAGGGTGCAAGACGTGACTTGGACGAAGGCGACGTGATGATCCGATGATCAACACCATAATCAAGACCTTAGAAGCACAATAGAAGACCCAAAATATCAAGCAAAGTCAAAGCACGAAGATAGGAACCAAGCCGGATGCAAGATCGCGAAGAAACGAGCTCACAGAAGTGACCGGACGCTCCGATCAAGAGGCTCGGCAGCAGCAGCGACCGGACGTAGGACAGCAGAGTCCGATCAAGTACAGAGAGGTTCCAGAGCGGCGAAACTGCGACCGGACGCGTCCGGTGACAGGTGACCGGACGCTGGTAGCGTCCGATCAGTTGATCGCGGCTCTAACGGTCGGAACGACCGGATGCGTCCGATCAG